CAAGGCCCTTTGGTAGAGTAGACCGAATCGCTAACTACTTTCCCGTCTGGGTGGGAGGCTTTCTCATCAAGGCTGAATTTTATAAAACCTGTAAGCTCCTACTGAAGTTCACTTTCAGTTAGCAGTAAAATGCCTAAATAAAATAGTTCAACGAGATCACTAACAACAGATTTTTTTTTTTTTTTTTTTTTTTTTTTTTTTTTTTTTTTAATTTTCGGGTTAAGCGGAAGTTTATGTACTAGCCGAAAGAAGAAGTATTTGTTGCAATGTTTCAATATTTGTAGGAAAATGGCTTCCAAGTTGCTGTATCAATTGTTTTAAGGAAAAAAAGTGCATTTCTTTTCAAAATCTTACCCAGTTTCTTCTGAAATTGGCTTAGTTTGCAACTCATTTTTAACTTAATACATTAGCGAGATGTTAATGCAAATCTTTTATTGAAAAACAGACCTATTTCGTTTTCAAGAGCAATGGTATCCCATTTGGCTGAAGATTTTTCTACCTTTTATTTTTTGCCCTCATTTATGTAAATTTGTAGAAGTGTGTGCGTATGTAATATATCCATCGTATCTACAAAAGTCCTTATTCGAACTTTATTTCGCAACTGTTGGTCGTACACATATAATTAAAGTTACAAAAATGTTTTAAATGAGCCGAAAATTTTTTTTTTTAAATTTCTAAATTTAAAAGGAAATACTTTTGTGTAAAATACGAAATCTAATTCTTTATACACTCTTTCGGTCCATATACGTAAATTTAGAAAACTTTTGTACTTGCTATAAAAAAATGAAAGTCAGAAAGTTAAATTCCCGTATAACAAAATTTGAGCCAGATATTTAATTTTAAAATTTTCGATATTTGACGTCATTTCAAAACTGTAGTCAGGAGTCCGTTAATAAATACTCAAAGTTAATATTTCCCTCATAGATGAAAGCATAAGGGGAAAATGCCGATCAATGATATTTTCTAGAAATTTACTAGTGCCTTTAATTACAATTTTGCTATATTTAGTATGTCGAAAGAATTTTCATACAAATATTTTACAACTTTTCAAAATCTTGTGGTATTAGTTGTTGCTGTTGCCCACTTATCTGACGTAGTCAGTCCAAGCCTACGAAATTCCTTGTGACTAGGAGCGTAAGATTACGCCTGTTGTTGGCAACAGTCTTTAGCACATAACAGGTGACAGTACCATTTCGCTCAGAATTTTGATGGAGAGCACCCGGGGGATTAATCCGAGGGTCTCCTACCCCTCTCCCCTTCCACTAAACCACACGAAAGGACTTTTGGACCGAATATTTGGAGTGCCCCCATGCCGCACCGACACTATACATTTACAAACATCCATGACTTTTCCGGGATTCGAACCCAGTCCCTTCAGCATGGCAATCAGCGACGCTAACCACTATACCAGTTGGGCGACCTATGTTATTAGTATTCTCGGGAAGTTTCATTACTTTTGGATAATAATCTGGTAATCGTAAGAAATGCATTAAAATACTACAAATATTTTCATTTTTAATTAATGCAAATAACATTTCGAGTTAGGTATGTGGGAAAACTAAAGTCTGCCATTTTTTTAGAACACGAATTCTACAGGGTTCTGTGAATATGACATTCATTTTGAATAAAATATATTCATTAATATCTTTCACTATAATCTGCATAGTAATGCTGGTCACATAATCTCTTAACATCAACGAACCTTTATCTAAATGATATTTTAATTATGGTAACGTAATTTATGTACGGCATCCAAATATGATTCCTAAATTTAATATCCACTATCTCGGTCCATTTTTGTCGTATACGGGAGTCAAACATTTTACATTTGACTTTTTATAATGAGTGCAAAGTTCTTCTAAGCACCTGATTTTGTATAACGAGTAAAAAATTTTCCTAAGCATTAAGTAAATTGACCGGAAGAACGTGTAAATGTTGGATCTCGCATTTTATACGTAAAATTAATTCTTTTTATTTTAAAAATACACAAATATGAATCTCTTTACCATTTAAAACAATTTTGTAATTGGAAATACATACTACGTTCTCAATGACCAACTGTTGAGAAAAAATAAACCGGTTACAGACTTTTATGCATATGGTGTATGTATATCTTGTTTATATAAATATAAGCAGCTAAAGTGTGTGTCGCCGATAGTTTATTGTTGCCACTCGGAAAAATAAGCGCGGAAATTAACGTTTTCGCAGTTTTTAATTAATATCTCGGCCGATTAAAGTCGTACGAAGATGAAAATGGTATCGATGGATTCGAAAAACTTTTTTTGGAATTCTAGGATACTCGTCTCTAATTTCAACTCCGCGCCGTTCCGTAGATATTCGAGAAAAAAGAATTTGGCACGTAGCCAAGTCCGTCTAATACGGAAAACCCAAGAAAGAAAGTGGAAAATGTAGGGAAAACGTAGGGGAAAATTAGTTTTTAATTAATATCTCGGTTAATTAAAATTCCACAAAGACGAGAATGGTCAAAATGGCGTGCCACGGACCTGCGGAATCCAACGGTGCGCTTCGCTAAGCCCGGAAGCCAGCCGTTTCGGAGGAGAAAATGGTTACTTCACCCCATATATACATGCGGCTTAAGTGTCTGTTTGTCGCCGATAGTTTATTGGTTGCTTGTGTAACTGTACTAGCCAATGGGGTGAAGTTGCCACGGCACAGGGTTGCAGTTTCAATTGCGATGTAGACAATTTCCTGTAAAACTAGCCTTTGCTGTGACCATCAATAAGTCTCAGGACCAAAGGCTTAAGCGTGTTGGCATATTTTTACCTCAGCCTGCATTTGGACACGGTCATCTTTATGTTGCCTGTTCAAGAGTTCGCAAAAGAACGGGCGTAAAATTAAAAATAATGGATGGTCCTCTGCAAGGCTGAGCTTAAAAATGATGGAAAGATCTACACAAGAAATGTTGTTCATCTACACAAAAATGTTAATTCACATGTCAAAGATCTGTGTGCAAAGAGATCTTTTTCATGTGAATTAACATTTTATTATTTAAATCAACTTTATTTATTGAGCTAGCGGTGGGCTCTTAAACAATATACCTCCAGTGATTTCCCTCATTGCACTCTACTTTAAGCAATTAAGCAAGTAGAAGGGGGAAACCCCGTAGGGCAGTAAGCAAAGGGGGTCCTCGCCGCCTGTCCTGGGTAATTCCGTTTGAATTAGCAGACACCTTTGCACAAATCATTTTAATTACAATTTATATATCTAGAACAGCGGTCATTTCGCATGACCGCCGGGCTTTCTAGTTATATATATAAACGGCGTAAGTGTTTGTCGCCGACAGTTTATTGTTGCCACTCGGAAAAATGAGAGCGGAAATTGACGTTTCCGCAGTTTTTAATTAATATCTCGGCCGATTAAAATCATACGAAGATGCGAACGGTATCGATGGGTTCGGAGAATTTTTTGGAATCCGAGGATATGCGTCTGGAATTTCAACTCTGGGCCGTTCCGTAGATATTCGAGAAAAAAGAATTTTGCACGCAGCCAAATCCCTCTAATAGGGAAAGCCTAAGAAAGAAAGTGGAAAATGTAGGGAAAACGTAGGGGAAAATTAGTTTTTAATTAATATCTCGGCTAATTAATGTCCTCGCCGCCTGCCGTGGGTAATTCAGTTTTAATTAGCAGACACCTATGCACAAATCATTTTAATTACAGTTTACAATATCTAAAACAGCGGTCATTTCGTATGACCGCCGGGCTTTCTAGTATATATATATATATATATATACAAAAAAAAAAAGACTGGTCCAATAAATTATTCTTCATGGAGAATTAGTTCTCCGTGACATTATCACCTTCAAAGTAGTTCCCTTCACCATTCACACACTTCTGCATTCGGTGCCATTGCTGGTAACAGTTCTGGAACGAGGTTTTTTAAAGGCCCTTCGGAAGATTCTCCGTTTTTGTCTGAACCTTTTCAGCTGAAGTAAAAGGGATTTAACTTAAGGAAATAAGAAAACGTCGCATGGAGCCAAATCATGTGAATAAGGCGGATGCCCCATCACAGTAATCTTTTTGCTGGTCAGAAACTGCTTGACACATAGAGCCGTGTGAGCGGGTGCTTCATCTTAGTGCAACAGCCATCCATAACTCCACAACTATGGCCTTTTTTTTCCCTAATTTTTTCACGGAGTCTTTTTAGTACTTCAACGTAGTAATATTGGTTAACAGGCTAACCACTGTGAACACATTCAATCATGATGAACGTGCTGGGCATCTTCCACGCTGTTCCTTTCCCTGAAAACCGCTTATGCCATTAAAACACACATGCATGAGGCAAAGTTCGTGCATGAGACAAGTCTTCATAAGCCTCGGTTAACATTTGAAATGTTTCCTTCGTGGCTGATTTCTTCAGTTTCACAAGAAACTTATTGTTGATTCTCTGTTCGGTTTTTACATTAGACAATTTTCTTGTAGAATGCAGTTGCACGTATTCATTCAATGAAGCAATACTCCCCACTGGCGTGGTCGATTAAGTCGAAACTGGCCGCATAGATAGAGGACGTGTGTTACATGACGTCACCAAAACAGCTGTATTTACTCAGCTTTATCTCAAAGTGTGGAATTAGCATACCTGGTTATTTTTCCTGAAGAATATTACTTATTTTTATCGCAAAGTATGAAATTTGAGCCATCTGATTAGCTTATTGTACAAACAACTTAGAAATGAATTTATTGTATTATTTTATTGATGCAAAACATGCTAGAGCTTACTTACCTACGAGAAGCGGTGCCTTTATGGAGAATCGTTTTAAGAGAAAAACTGGTTCATATTCACGTTGCCAGTATTCATAGATCTTATCGTTCGACCACTAGTGATCCACGTTAATAAATACTTAGCTTTTTCTCAAAATGGAGAATGCTGGTCGCGTGATTATATCTCTTGTAGATCACTTTTTTTTTTCTTCTTCTTCTTAATGCTTACTTAATTTTTATCCGGTGTTGAAATTCATATAATACAATTATCTTTCTTTTAGAAACCCTCATCATCAACTCATCATACTATTTGTGTGAGTCTCACACGCAAGATCGCTTTTAACTCAAAACCCCTTCAAAGACGCAAGATCATCGTTTGTGTGAGGATGTTTTACATTTGGACAAGTGGCAATGAAAATTTCATGAAAAAGTTCATTTGATTCATTATTTAAATAAATTAAATGTTTGAGTGAATGCTTCATTCCAATATTTAGCAATAAAATTCAGATGCCATTTTAATTTCATTCTTTATTTTTATTTCTGAACGTTAAACCTTTTGATTTCCCTTATTTATAAATTTTCTGTCCCCTTGTTTGTTAATTATAAATACCGTATTTGGTTTCTACTGTGGAAGTTCACCCATTTTCTTTCTTTATTGAGTTAATGATTTTTAACATACAGTTTATGAACTGAACTCTTATTTGAGAAATTTATAATGCACTGAAATAAAAAAAACTGACAAATCTCTAATAAGTATTTTAAAAAATTAAAAAGAAGTTTCTTTGAAATTCCTGTGCGTAATTCAAAATTCGAAAATGAGGTGCCGTAAGGGAGATATACGAGAAAAAATCCTCTCAAACGAATTTATGGAAATCAAGCAAATGAGGCGCATTTGAGACCTTTTGTTAGCAGGTATTTTAAAAGGTTAGCTCTGAAACCTTCTTTTGCTCTCGCGTTCTGTATTGGTGATAGCAACTAGGCCTGAGAAGGCGAGGAATGGAGAGTATGAATGCTGAAAGTTTTGCTAATGAATTGTTTCCTTATTTATGGGATTACTTCAAGGTAGATAGTCAAGTAAGGCCACAACGAACGACAAAGCCGTCAACTTTCTTTAAGAAATCACCTTCCCCAGAGGCACCAAAATCTCCGGAGCCGATGCCATCAACATCACAGGCTCCGGGGCCGATACCTCCGGATCCGACGCCACAAACTTCCCCAGCGACATCAGAGCCTCCGCAGCCGACGCCACAAATTTCCCCAGCGACATCAGAGCCTTCGGATCCTGTGCCACCAACTTCCCCACCGCCATCAGAGGACGAGATAGCTGAAGAAATTTTACCAAAACTTGCAAGAGCAGTTCTTGGCATGCAAATATGCTTCAGAAGTGACCTGAAGGTTGTCTTTGATGGAATACCATCTCTGGACATAAAAGAGCGACGTTTCATGGAGTTCGTATTCAAATATTTGGAGACTTTTGAAGTCGACAAAAATATTTTTGAGCGAACATTAGACTCTTGCGTGATTTATGCTGAATTTGCCTTGTACAAGTATCAGATGAAACAGGAGAATTACTTCAAATTGATTCCAAGTCTCTGGTGCAAGTACTTCGAGATGTACTTAAAAACAAATCGTTTCGAAATATCCGGAAGCTGGAAAATGCTTAAACAAACGGCCATGTATTTGAAGGAGGCGGTTACCGTGGTGAATGAGACCCTTATTGAGAATTTTTCGAGTCCTTATGATACTGTGGAGTTGCTGGAAGACGTTAAAAGATTGATTCCTGAGCTGAGAGAGAGGCTTGATCTTTTTGTAACTAACTATAACTCAGATTTGGTATAGTCATCGGTATGGAAGCGAGTGGACTTCAGGAAGTACAAATTAAAGCTATAACTTTATTATATGCTGAGGCTAATTTCAAGAGATTTTTTTTTTAAGCGAGAAATTCTGCAATGTGACCAAATGTTTAATAAGGGACAGCTGACTAGACTCAAAATGATGTTCTAAAACTATCTTCGAAGAAATCGGGGAAAAAATGGGATAGAATTTTGGATTATAGAGTTCGAAAATGATGAAACCGTACAACAAAGCTAATGGGTAATGTTTTCTAAACTGTGTAATATTTAAGTGTTGCTGTATGTTTATGTTCAGTGTATCTTTATAAAAATTTCAGTGTATTGCCTTCAATACTTCAAATTTGTTTTGATTAAAGTTCGCATTTCGTTCTTACCTCCTATGTTCTGTGTTAGCGTCTAGCTGCCTTTTAAACACAGTTTTAATATCTGCTCTTAAAATGCTGCTGAATATTAACCTACTCAGAAAATTTTTAATGCAATTCTTTAGTAACTTAATGCATATTGTTCATAACAAAGTAGGCCACTGCATTTTCAAGCAATGTGAAAATACACTGATGTGAAATTTAAAATGCTGCAGCAAAATAAGAGTTTAATAGATGGATTTTAACCTTAAGCTGCGATTTATATATAGAGAGAGAAAGAGGGTTAAACGACCCGAGTATCCGGCCGTGAATCTAAGCATTCGAATTTATCTGAACTTCCAATTTACTACAATAGTTTCAGCACAGTACCTATTTTTATTGCATTCAACTTCTAAGCATGTTGATTTTCCATCTTTTCGAGAGTAACATTATATATTATCAATGTACTTGACAATTTTTTCTTATTGCACAATTCGTATTCTAGTTCCTGAATTCCTTGTCTTGATATATCCTGAATACTAGCTCTTGATTACATGTAATGCTGAAAACTATTTTTAGAATGTTTTGTTTCTTGAATAAGAAGACAACCGCAGCCTGTTTTAAGTTTTACCATAGTTAACTGGATTTCGGATATGACTAAACTCTAGTGTTATAATCGATTCTACCAATACAAACCATTTCATAAAGGAAATTGAATTCTTGTGAACTGCGGATGCAAGAAAACATTTAATTCGTATTTTCTTTAATTTTCATATGTGATGTGTCTTACTTTAAACTATTCATAACATGCACATGAATAGAAGTCTATCCTCGTTAAATCGAGCCAGCTCAGAATTACGAGTCCCACTGTTTGGTACCTTCAGACTGAATAATGTATAACGTAACACTTGCGTAATTATGTTCAGATTATCAAATAAATTTATCCTGAAGGTGGTTATTTCCCAGTAATATTTCCAATTTAACTCAAGCCTTTTAATTTTAAGGTTTTATTTACACATCTATCGGTGACATTTCTTATGGCGAAATGCTAAATTTATGGGTTTCTTATCAACCATGACTTTCGTAAGCAGAAGCCTAATTTTTTCACATTGGGAGTTTACACATACTCAATGAGCTCATAATATTCAACACATTCTTCATTGTAGGAACACTTTCGTTGGCTGCATGATTAAATAACTTCATAGATTTAGAGAAAAAATACAAGTACATTAGACTGCTTAGCAAACATCAGCTTCCAGCGTTCGCGTGGTAAGACTGATGAACACTGGAAGTTCGATGGCCGCAAACGAGTTTTAATTTTTTTCTAATCTGTAATATGAACACGAGCCAGATTCCGTAAAAGCCTTCCACAAAGGCATACCTCTCCTTGGTCAGATAACTCTCGAATGCTTCAGACATGACTTGAGTAGTTCTAATCCTATGAAAACTGAGTTTTTCAATTAAATGGAAGATTGTCACGAAGTGAAACTATTGCACAAATTCCTGAAATGGGTGTTTAGATATCTCAATTACTTTTTAATTCCTAGTAGAATATGTTTAACTAATTTTTATCATGTTTAAGGATTTCCGTCAGATTGGTCGTAATAAAATTGTTTGATTTTTCTTTCATTACTATGTGACAAACGATTGTTCATCTTTGTCTGACGAGCTACATAGCCAACTAGTAGGCAAGGGTCGCAGAGTATAGATAATCCAAGCGGGTTCAATGATCTGAATAAAAAGGAAGTGTGGTTATTTGAAGTGTTACTTCAATGAAACAATACAACCAAATATCACTATTCGTTCTAACCCCCTGTGCCAAGGGTTCACCAGCGCCCTAGCGATAAGGATAGCTGAATAGTAGTAGCTATGACCTGGTCTGGAATCCAGGCGAACGAGCTGGCTGCACGGGCGTTTTCGTGGGTTTTCCCCATGTGTAACATGAATAATAGCTAGGTGTCCTTAAAGTCTTCCACGAAGAGCATCTTTCCTCTCACGCAGGTAGCCCTAGTATCCTTTGCCATAATAAACTAAACCGAACCAGAGTTTCACCAGTGAACGAGTGATTTAAGACTGCTGAATGCTACTAGTTCAACCCGAGGCCAAACCCAGGCAAACGTGCTGGCAGCATGATTGATTTTCCTATCTCGTATGAATAAGAGCCAGTTTTATTTAGAAAGTCTTCCACGAAATCATCTCTGCCCTTAGGCAGATAGCACTTATATGCTTTGCCATATTCAAATAACGGAGAATCTCGTGGCTGCTGTTCCCTAGTCTAGTAATTCAGGATTCGATTGATTGCATTTTCTAATATGGGTACTTAAATATTGCAACATTTAAATGATCGCAACATTTGAATCTGACAATTGTAAATTATCGAAACATTTAAGAGTACTCTTTTGTTATTGGGGCCGGATTCAGAGATGTACGTGTTCATGTATATATCTATGTACATAAATGTGTATGTATGCAGACATACATGCATTTCTGAATCCGGTATAACAGAAGTGTACGCACTTAAGTGTCCGTACAAAAGCTTGATTTTTATTATCACAACTTTGATGCTAGAATCATTACTCATTGCTGTATATTACCAGAGTAATGATTAATGTATATTGTATATTGCCAGAGTAATTGATTTCAGATTTCAAAGTAGCTGTGCTGTGATTCGTTTTAGATTTAATGAGTTTCAAATACACTGTATTCCATACTGGGATGCGCCGAGAATTGTAAAGTTTTCATGCTTACATTTGACATTATAACCTCGGTTTGGTCTCTTCAGTTTTTACTGCCTTATCAAACTTATCAAAGTTACGCGAATGGTCTATGTAAGCCGCTTAGAATTCCAGACCCAATTTAACTTATGATTAAAGTCGGTTAAGACATGAGCAATACCAAAACTTAAAACGTAAGAAATGCATTCTTAGTGATAATCTGTTATTTCATTTTTGATTTTTTTAAGAATATTACTCATGAACATTGATTATGAAGAGAAAGTATGAGGGAACTTTTATGACTATCAATGCCAGAAATCAGCTATAAAGTGTTGTATACGAGCCTAAAGAAATTGAAAATCCCCCTTCAAAACTAGATCGTAAGGAAGACTGTTGAAACTGCACTATTTACGTGGAATTTTCATCTTTCTGTGAATAAAAATGTAGACTTTTCAAGTTTTAAAAATACATTTAATATACATTTAAAAAGTGGA